CTGTTCTGCTCCCCACTCTGTCTCTGGTGAAGCCTCTCGCCACCCCTGAGCTTCTGGCCTGTACCCCAGTTCTGTATGCACAAATAAATAAATCTTAAAAAAAAAAAAAAAAAGAACTCCTTTGTTCAAGTCTAAGTCCAAGTATTCAGTGCAAGTCTCCTTCAGGTTTGTCACATATGTGTTATATAGTCATAATTCAACTAACAAGTGATCAATCAAAACTTAGTACTTTCAGACTTATATTTTATTCTCACTGGTTCTCAAACATACAGTATGTGATTAATGGTATTTACCCACCCTTTTGCTGGATACCTTACAATCATGACATCCATTACAGTACACTGTTGCATAGTATAATTTGTCCCTACAATTTTTTTTTTGCAAGTTTTAGAAACTACTAGTATTGGCATGCAGTGCTACAGCCCTGTATATGATTTAGGATTAAGGTGTAAACCTCTACAAACTTATGTTACCATATCACACCTACCACCAAAGCCCCAGTAATTCTTTTATATATAGCTACACAGCATTGGATCTCCTGCCTCCCAATTCTACAGTCAGACTTCTATGGTTTGTTTGTTTTGTTTTTGTCTGTTCCTCTACTTTGTTTTTATCTTCTACATATAAGAGAAGTGTCCTTATTTGCCTTATTTTTCCTAACTTGTTCTGCTTATTTTTCACTAAAGTAAGACTTCACATGTTTTTATAGATTTGTTTTCAATTTTGCATACAAGATCTGGGTTGTAGACCACAAGAGTGAGAGGTGAAAGGATTCACAAGACACAGAGTAGGGAGCAAACAGGCAGGTCTACTGAAATACACTGCTGAGGGGAGTAGTGGGTGAGACAGGTGAAGTCAGCTTTGCCATGTGGGTCAGCTCCCAGGCCAGGGATATAACTCAGGCTGCAGTGGTGGGTGTTAGCTTGACACAGATGAGACTTTAACCCCTGTGCCACCAACAAGGCCCAAGTCTTAACATTTTATATCAAGAAATACAGCATCTAAGTTAATATAGATATTTGAAAACTGGTGCTTAAGTTTGAATATAAGAAAGGGGGGAAGTAAAAGCAGGTAGTGACTCCTGATAATGCACAATTTGTGCCTGTATGTTTCCTTAGGGTGTTATGCATTTGAATGCACTTATTCTTATTTAGCAGTTACAGAAAATGAAGTTTATGAATTTGACCACATTACTAATAGTCAAATAATTAGTAAATGGTTCTCACAAACTTGCCATGAAAAGTTGTTTTTCATACAGAGCCTCTGGTACTGGGAGAGGAATGTTTTGAACCTACTGCCCATGCTCTGCAAGGGGAAATGAGTTCCTTTGTGAGTTTGCTCTTTAATCTGAGCATGATAGTAAGTTCTTTCAGTAGTGTTATGGGGTAGAAACTGAAGGAGAGTTCTGCATTATTTGTTTTCTCCCCTAGAGGACGGTAGGTGAGGACATTCAGTGAAACTTTTTTCAGTGGAAGGTCACCAGTGATGTTGCAGTCTATTGAAATTAGCACCTTGAAGATTTTGTCATCCATGAGAGTCTGTAACCCTCAACTCCACAAGAAATTCAGATTCCCTTTCTAGCTATACTTTCCCACTAAGCTTTTTGTATCATTGAGCATCCCAGAACTTCTACCACTTGCTAAATGCCTGATTAGTATCTGCACTCCAGAGGATGTCTCTGGCTGGTCCACTTAATAGAGAACAGCTCTGGCCTGGCCAAAGAGTGAATTTTTGCTATCCAGGGTGCTGAACTGTCCCGTCCAAGTTTTGTCTCTGGAACATTCTTCCACATCCCAAGAAAACCATATGGAAACTTCTCATCCTTCTGTTGAGCTAGAAGGAACCATGCTCAGCGAAATAATCCAGAAAGAACAAGAAAAATACTAGATGGTTTCATTTCTAGGAGGAATGTAAAGGATAGGGAAGGGGAGGAAAGTAATTACAATAAAGTACAAAATCAAAATCAACAGGCAACTATAAACCACAGACAAGGGGGAGAGAGGAGTAGGATCAAAAGAGGAGTGGGAAGAGCACAAGTGACTGTGGTGATGGTGCATGGGCGAATTGCTGTGGGATTCCATGGGGATTATAACCGAGATGAAAAAGCACTTTCCACAAAAATGAAGAATGATATAAAAATATATAAATTGAAAATAATAAAATTTTAAGGAATTTATCATTCTTAAATCATTCTTTAATTGTAGTTTAAAAGTTAATTTTAGGCCCTCCCTTGTGGCATAGAGGGTTAAAGCACAGCACTAAGAAGCTAAAGCCACTTCTGCATGAGTTCAATTCCTACCTGCCCCGGAGGTGACCACATGGTGTGGCAGACCTCTCCTGACCCGCCCACTGCTCCCCTCAGCAGTGTACTTCATCTATCTGCTTGTTCTGTTCCCCATTCTGTCTCCGGTGAAGCCTCTCGCCGCCCCTGAGCCTCTGGCCTGTACCCCAGTTCTGTATGCACAAATAAATAAATCTTTAAAAAAAATAAATAAATAAGTTAATTTTAACAGTAACCATGCCCTGTTTAATCTAATGTGAGGCTTCTATTACTGACAGGACAGAGACTGAGGCAACGAACTTGAGTTTAAAAAGTCATGTGTGCTAAGTACTAGGTGCTAACAGGTAAGTTGAACTAAACTGCAAAGCAAAGATGGAGGATAAAGCAATCGCAGGAGGAACTAGAGAAAAACTTAAAGAGCAAAGAAAGATTTGTCAATCTAAAAGAAATTATGGATCAGAGCCTGTTCTTAATGGTGACTACAGGAGGAACTAACATGACATCAATTAAAATTGGGAGGGAGAGTCTCAAAACATTAACAATTATTTGCCATATGATCCACACCTAGGTAACTACCTGAAAATTACAGACACTAATTTGAAGGGCTATGTGTATGCCTGTGTTCACCACAGCACTATTTATGCAGGTCACATTATCAAAAGGCCCCAAGTGAGTGGTTAAAGGTGTAATACATCCACACCATGGCTACTACTCAGCTATAAATGATGAAATCTTTCCAAGTGCAAAAACATAGATGAAACCGGGGGTGGGGGCTGGGGATGGAGTTACTCTATAAGGCTCTTTGGAGGGGGGCATGATAGTTCAATTTGGGGATGGCAGCTATTAAAATAAGCTTGACTAAGAACTTTGATTAACTTGCCAATTACTAGTCAGTTTGTAGGAAACCTCATTTGTAACTCAATGTTGCCTTATAAAAAAAACTCCTCACTGTGCTGTTATAATTTTATAAATCCAAATAAATTTGCATATAGCATTTTTCTCTCCATGGAGGGAACATTTATTTTCAACACTGTATAAGATAAATTAATCAAGTATATATGCTAGTGCCTCTCAGCCTCCCACCTTTCTCCCAGATTGATCTGTTCTTAATACTGTATGGTGTCAATGTCTATTTACATCACCTGAATGCAAATATGATATCCAACTCATCTAAATCAACCACATGTCTTACTACCTAACTAAAGAACAGCAGAAGTAGCCTGTAACAAATAACCAAAATTAAACAGCATCTCAGAAATTAATTCATTAATAGCTCATAGTCTTAGTGAATTTAAGAACATCCAACTGGGATCTCTAGTTAGGATCTCACTACCAATACTACAAGTTTTCGCCCAAGACTCTGGGTCCTACGAAATCACTTTGCCATATGACTTATCCAGAGTATCTTGATTTAGCAACATGACCCAAATGTTGCATGAAAACAATTAAGCTAAAGGTAAATTTTTTAATAAAATTTTAATTTTCCCTACTAGTTTGCCTGACAAATCTTAAACATATTGTTACTGGTCACCCTTTAAGATACAAAACAATTAAATTCTAGTTATGTATTTGTATGTCATCATCTATTTTCACATGAGGCTTTAGAGGGCTTATTTGTTTCTAACCAGTAATTTTCTAGAATAGGGTAAGAATAGAAAGGTAACTATAAATGGATTGTTGTATCTCTCTCCATGACTTTATAATTTTCCTTTATAACAAATCTAGTCGGGTGATCATGCCTGGGTATAGACACCTCATTGGTACAGCACCAGTGAGGAAAACATTCCTTTTCAGATGTGTTCAGATGTCAGTCTGTCTGTCTTCCTTTGTTTGGCTTCTCTATAGTCTACATACAAGTAAAATCACTCAGTATTTGTCTTTTCCTGTCTTATCTCACTCAGTATAATCTCTTCCAGTCATTTATGTTGTTGCAAGTGGCAAATTTTCATGTTTTTATCACTGACTACAATTCAATTGTGGATATCTAGTCCACATCTTCTTACCCCACTCATCTGTTGTTAGTCACTGAGGTTGTTTCCCAAACTTGGCTGAAACAATGAGCATAAGAGTATATTTGGCTTTCCCTATTTATTTTTCTGCAACTTTTGGATGATTCTTTCAAGACAGTATTTTTCAAGTGAGAATTTCCCAAGCCAGATTTCCCTAAGAAGTTTATCTGTATGTATAGGTGTATGCCCAGACTGACAGTGTACCTACAGAAAGATAGGTCCAGTAGACCCACAATCCCTTAACACAAAAGCTTAGGAATAAATGCTTCAGTGAAATAAATTAAGATCACAATACTCAACTAACGAAGACCCATTCATTTTAGGAATTACATTCAAGGCACAGAGCCTTCAGTAAGTAGTGAGTGCTGAGCAATGTGTTGAGACAAAACACACAGTTGGAATGATTAGCTGAGATTAGCTCTACCAGGCTCTGAAAAGGTCACAGACATAGAAGACAAAAGTATAAGTCAATGGCCGTGTCTGACACAAGATACACAAACTTGTTAGGAGTAAAGAATCATGTTTATTTGTAAATGATCACAATGTAGAAATTTGTAATAAGGAGTTAGAGTTTGCGCTTGGTCTGTGAATTAAAGATGCCTTCGGTTTCCAGAAGTACCTTGGTGTAACTCAGATTTCCTAATCAACAAGCTGGACTTCTAAGAAAACAATTTCAATAAATTCAGCTGTAATCATGAGAAAGTGACGATGATGGCTCTGATGGCTCGGAGTGATCATTTTAGAAGAAACATGACAGCGGCGATGCTTCAGCAGCAAGAAGAATAGCAACTTCTGTAGACAAAGGGCCGGTAACCACAGAAGGAAGAGCCATATCTGGAGCCATAGCCACAGCCATAACGGGAGCCATAGCCGCAGCCATAACGGGAGCCATAGCCACAGCCATAACGGGAGCCATAGCCACAGCCATATCCGGAGCCATAGCCACAGCCATATCTGGAGCCATAGCCGCAGCCATATCCGGAGCCATAGCCGCAGCCATATCCGGAGCCATAGCCACAGCCATAGCCTGAGCCATAGCCACAGCCATAGCGGGAGCCATAGCCACAGCCATAGCGGGAGCCATAGCCACAGCCGTAGCTGCCATAGGAGTTTCCAAAGTAGTTGCAATACATGGTGTCAGGAGGTGAAGTTTCAGTTGACCTGTAGGAGTATATTTTGAAGTCTGAATATCAACTGCTCTCACAAGACACTTTTATACTTCCAGGAATGGGTGTGTCTAATCTCATGTGAGCTCTGTTTTCATTTTACAACTCATGCTGTGAGCTCATGCTGTGTACAGCAATCTTTTCAGGAATTTTCTAATGATTATTTTAAGCCTAAAGATGTATGTGCTAAATACTAAACTTATATAACCCTAATTTTACTTCCATAATTGTATTTCATGGCTTTGACATAACACATCAACAAAATAGGTTTGGCCTGTGTATGTGTGTGTTTAATATTTTGCTCTTCAGTGCCTTAAAAAGCAACTATGAAACACAGAATTCTAATTATTAATAGCCTCATCATCATCCAATCATCACCGTGATTATCGTACCATGTTGGTTTCATTTTTTCCATCCCTAAGGTAAATCTTCTAAAGAAATTTTGTTGGATTTGGTCAAGGAATAGAGAGTATTTCATACACTACATTTACTCCCGAAAAGAGAAGTTAAGCTTGTCTAGCTCACCTTTTCCATCAATATGACGTTTTATTCTTTCTTTAGGGAAAAATTTTTTAGTGAATACCATGTGAGTAAGTAATCTAATCAAAAATAATGAACTCTTCTAAGCATCTCAACTTTGAGTGAGAAAAATGCCTTGGTTTAGGAATATATTTGTTCAAGTCCAAGGTTTTAATGCAAGTCTCATTATAAGGTTTCTCATATATGTTTTATGTAGTCATACACTCTACCAACATGTGATCAATCAGTAATTAGTATTTGCAGAATCTGCAATATTTTTATCGATTTTGCTGTCACCTAGCTCCTTCACCAAGCAACATTCAAAATTGAGACTTACCCATACTACTTTCGCTAATACCTTGTAGTGGTGACATCAATAATAGTTTACTGTTTTGTGGTATTTATTAGTTGCCCTTACCTTTATTTTTGTAATTTTAAAAACTATTTTTATTGATGGGCATTGCTTTACAGCACTGTACATGTTTTAGTAATAAGTCACAACTCAACAAATACACGCTACCATATCACAATCACCACCCAAACCTCAGTTATTCTCCACTATGCATCACTGGATCTCTTCCCCCAGGTTCCACAGTATGATTTCTAGGGTTTTGTTTTTTCTGTTTCTCTGCTATATTGTTGTATGCCACATGAGAGAAACAACCTGCATTTTTTTTTCTTCCTGACTTATTTTCCTTCCTTTACATTAAAGTGAGTTTCAACATTTTAAATACAAGAAATGCATTAGTCCAAGTAAATATAGATTTAAAAAAAAACTTATTTGAGAATGATTTTGTTTGGATATGAGAGAGGGGAAAAATAAAAGAAGGTAGTGTCTTGTAATATAGCAGGACTTGTAGTTCCTATACATTTTCTATAGACTCTACCACATTTTAATGCACATTGATGCTTATTTAGCAGTTGTTGAAACAGAAATTCACAAATTTGAGCATATGTCCCGCAGTCAAATAATTAGTAAATGGTTTTCACAAACTTTGCCAAGAAAACCTGTTTTGATTAGAGTCCCTCTGAACAAAGAGAAAAAGTTTCTGAATTTATTGCCTCTCATCTTTGCAAGATTTTCAGTATCTGCGATGTGATGAGTGATAGGCTCCTTCATGAGTGACCCCTTAAATCTGCACATGGCATGAAGCTTTCTCAATACTCAATGTTGCAAGGGAGAAATTTCAGGAGAAACCAGTTTTGTATTATTTGCTTATAATCATGACAAGAGGTAGGGAATAGCAACTAGGATGAATATAATACTCTGTTCATTGTTGTGTCATCCTTAATGTTGGGGTGTCAGGATCATGATTTTTGTTTATTTGTTGAAATGAGCACCTTGAAGGTTTCCCATCCATGAGTGTCTGTAGCCCTCAAGCCCACACAGCTCACAGGTTCCCTTTAGCTGTCCTCCACCACAGAACTGTCTTTATGCCTGAGCTTTCTTGACCTTCTACCACTTGCATAATGCTTGCCTACCATCTGCACTCCAGAGGGTGCAGCTCTGGCCTGGCCAAAGGAGTGAGCTTTTCTGCCATCTGGTTTGCTGAACAGCCCCTCTCAATTTCTAACTTTGTGTGTGTTCTTCCACATCCTAGAGAACCATATAAAAATTTCTCATCCTATAACCACCCTTTTAGTATAGTTTAATAATTTTAATGTTAAGCATTCTCTATTTAACTTTATAAGCAGTTTCTACTAATGGACCCAGACTGACACACAAAACTTTAGATTTAGGAGTCATTTGGATATATGTGGTAGTCAAATCAATGCTAACAGATAAGATGAACTAGTATGTAAAAGGAAAAGCAATTACAAGAGGACCAATGCTTATAGGAAATCAAAGAAATATTTTTCCATGTAAAAGACACCACAGATGAGAAGTCTGCTCATTATGGAAACTATGGTAATAGATGAAATCGAGTTAAAAGTAGGTGGGTAAGTCTCAAAGAATTAACAGTAGATTTGCCATATGATACAGCAGTTCCACTCCTAGGTAACTACCTGGAGAATTACACAGATACTAATCTAGAGGTCATGTGCATGCCTGTGTTCACTGCAGTGCTATTTACAGTAGTCATATTAAGAGCCCAAGTACCGATGAGTGGATAAAGGGGTGGTATAACTATTCAATGGCTACTACTCAGCTATGAAGGATGATGAAATCTTTCTATGTGCAACACCTGGATGGAACTAGCAAGGAATATGCTCTATATGGCCTGCAGAAGAGGCCATATTGTGAGAATACACTACTAAAGTAAGCTTGACTAATAATTTTGAGTCCTGTGCCATTTACTAATTACTTTGTAGGAGTAAATTACATTGAGTTTTTTGGACTCGATGCTGCCATATAATCTCAATACTTTATGTTATAGAGTGCCCATGAATCCCAATAACATGAAAATAATATTTTTTTCCCAATTAGGAACACCAATTTCCAACACTATACAAGGTTTAGGTGTAGAGATCCACACACCTCAACAACTATGTTTGCCACACCACATCTATCACTAAACACTTGGTTACCACACACCACTCTCCAACTAAACCCCTCTATGTATTCCACTCAGTCCCTTCTCTTCTGGAAACACAACTCAGCAGACAGAATCGAAACGTTAGTTTAGCCCTTGTTTTGATTTTTGTTTTGTTTCTTAAAATTCCAAAATTGAGTAAAATAATAAACATTTTCTTTTTCCTTTACATTTATTTGACAATATATAATCCCCTCAAGATGTATCCTTATTATAGTAATTGATAAGATTTCAACTTTAGTAGTATTCCATTGTTATATAGATGTGAGATAGATCAATGGATAATGATAGTTATCTTTCATTCATGTATCAGTTAGCAATGAGGGTGTTACAGTATCTTATCTACTGTGAATAATACTTCAATTAATATAGGGGTGTACATATTTCATTTTTTTATATCCAGATAAATAACCAGAAGAAAAAAAGCTGTATCCCATGTAATTCTATTGTCCACTTTTTGTGGAACCTCCATACTCTTTTTCATATATTGCCATACCAATTTGCATTTTTATGATAACATTTTTACCCCAAGAAGTATTCCTCAGTAATTTTGTATCAGTGCTAGAGTCATATATTCAAATAAGTACACAAAAGAGATATATTTTACAATAACTCCGTTGAGTGTTTTTTTCCAAATCACATACTTCCTTCCGATTTTATAATCTGGTTGCATGAAATTGTGAATGATGTAAGTAACTTTAGTGTAATAATTGAAATACAAAAAGATTAGGTATATTCCTGAAATTTACACATTGATAAAGTCCTGTTTGTTCCTTTTGTTATACTACATAGTATCACCCTTTCTAGTCGATGGATTTTTGAATACTTGTTATAACAAGGCAACTGACTATTCTCTGGGAGTCTATCTCATTGTGAAATTACTGTCATAAAAGGTCCACATGCTCCTAAGTCTCATTATACCCAGTATCACTGTAGATCGTAGGCAAATTTTGCTCAAGATTTTATTCACTAGTCATACCTGTCAAGGATAGCTCATAGTACCTCTCACCCTCTGCTTTTATCCAGAGTGATCTGTCCTTGATTGTGATTGGTATGAATGGTCTCCTTACCTCAGCTTTTATGATCTCCACGGCCACCTAAGGCAAGTCCATGTGTAATAACTTACAGGGCAGTAGAAAAAGATGTTAATAAATGACAGGATAAGAGAAAATATCAGCTCAGAATACCATATATTATGTCAGTTTTAGTGGGTCAGGCGTCTAAACACTGCCCAAACAAGACCTGTATAGGATTTCACTCAGAATATTGCAATCAAGGATTTATCTAGAACATCTGTAAAATCTCTTTGTCCTATAACTCAACTAGAATAGCTTGATTAACATGAACATAGTTAACACTAAAAAAGTTTACTTTTTTCAGTAAAATTTCAATTTATCCATCTTGTCAAATCTTAAATGTGTTATCACTGGCCACTCCTTCCAGATGTGAAAACAAAACAACTTCCAGTATTTTTATAAAAACAATATCACCACTTTTGTATGAGGCTTTAGAGGACATTATTTGTTCCTAGTCAATAATTTTCCAGAATAAGATTAGAACAGAAGGTACTAATATAAATGAATTATTGTACCACTATCCGTGAGTTTATAATTTTCCTCTAAAATAACTCTAAATAGAGGGTTACTTCAACCCTAAGTAGAGGGTTATCATGACTGGGTATAGACACATCTGGTGGTAGAGAACCAATGAGGAAAACATTCTATTTCCGATTGTGTTCAGATGTCAGTCTGTCTGTCCCTTTGTTTGGTTCTTCTATAAGCCTACTGTGGATATCTATGCCACATCTTCTTAACCCACTCATCTATTGTTAATTACTGAAGTTTGTTTCCCAAACTTGGCTGAAACAATGAACATAATAGTGTGTTTTTTCTTCCCTATTTATTTTTCTGCAAC